GGGAAGTGCTTCGCACAGGAAAGCCTTTCATGAATATAAGATATAATAAGATTGATTACTAAGGCCTGGTAGTAATAAGCAAATCAGCCTCTCTGGGCCTCAGTGCCCTCCACTGTGTATTTGGAGAGTCAGATGGAGGATATGTGAAACGATTTTTTTACTCTAAACCTCGTTTTGTGCTCAAGAGAGAAAAGAGTGGCTCCAGTCCAAGCATGGGGTGCTTCTTGCAAAGTCTGTACGTGACTTCTCAGGCCACAGGACAGCTATGTCACCCAGTCCATGGCAATTATAAGGCATCCAGCCAAGATCAGCAAATACTTGGGGTCTCTCTTCCCTCAAAAGTCTTCCTTTAACTCATCTGAATAGAAAGCATGCATCTTGGAGGAAAAGAAGAGAGATGTAGAGAAAAGAGAGGGACGTGAGCCAGCCAGTGGGGGATCTTGGTGACCTTTGCATCCACACTCAAATGCTAAAAATAGAAACAGCCACTGGCCCTTATTTCTAACATGTGTGGAACAGCTGCAACCCACCCGCGTCGGGAATATTTGGCGAGGTGCTAGAGTTGATGGGGAAAAGCCAAAGGGAATGGGGGCAGGGCAAATGCTGCCTCCTTGGCTTGCTGCTCAATGCTGTTTTTGTTCTCTTCCTAATAAGCTCTCTCTAAGGAAGCTGCAAGCAAGCCTTTCGGACTCCAGCCAGCTGCAGGGCCACCCTGCTGCCCCCACCCCTTCTCTGTCAGTTACATCTACACAGGGATGGGAGATCAGCAGTTGTAGGAGAGAGTCAGCAGGTATCAGCAGAAGATGAGTCAGAGTAAGCAGACTGGGAAGGAGGCAGCATTCTTAGATAAGCCACCTCCATCTGTTCTCTGGTGTGTATCCCCTCAATTTCTGCCACTTTCCTGGGCCTACAGTTCATGTCCTGGTTACTCTGAGTTTCCTCTTCCCTGGCCTCTTATCACCACCCGATCAAACATGCCCTTTCTCCTAAGAGTCTGGTGTGTAAGGTTTCAGATCTGATGAATTTATAATTTATTGAGCGTCTGTCTTGTGCTGGGCATTATGCTAATTACTTCAGATCAGAGACTGCAAAGCGGCAGACTACAGGTGTACCCAGCCCACAAGTATGTTTTTTTCAATGGTCTATCTAGTGTTTTAACCCCCCTTGGTCCTCTTAACAGCCCTCTGAGTTTCTATCATTGTTCCCATTTTGTAGATTAAAAACATCATATAGCTAATATATGGGATAGCTGGCTTCAAACTCATGCCTCTGGAGTGGGTGACAGTATCAGTTTACTGTTACCAGAAAAATGCAAAGACTAGAAAACGTGGGGTATCATGGAAGTGATTAATGCATTGGAGCGAGAGATCAAAGAAATGATTCCTCAGGTTCCTTCCAGCTGTGGACTTACATCTTATAACATTTTCTCCAAGGCATTTAATTATATTTTAAAGAATATTTTTGGAGCCATCATTTTTTAGTTCAAATATTGGAAACTTTATTCTGTCAAGCCAGTCGAGGGAATGCATTTTTAAACTTTTCTCTCGGTGCTCATCAAGGCCCCCAGGAATGAGTGTATGTGGGGCCTCCCAGGTGGTGAGGCAGAGCCAGGCCTGCTGGGGGGTGAGACTGTCAGGGCAAGACTGAAATGGCAACCCCGCTAAGCCAGAGGGTCCAGGAGGGGACTTTAGTCCAGACAGTTCCAAAACTTCTGATAATAAAATTAACCTTTTCCAATGTATACGCATATCAAATCACCATGGTGTATACTTTAAATATATTATAATTTTGTCTATTATTCCTAATGAAACTAGAAACACACACACATATTGGGGACTTAGGTGAGTCTTGACCCCTGTTGAGGAAGAGAAGGAAAAAAAAAAGAGAGAGAGAACAAGAATTTTACGGGACTCCAGTTACACACTGGGCAGAGGGTAATGTACTAGTCAGAATGCGGATTCTGTTGAATACAAGACACACCTAACCCAAGGTGATTTTAAAAGGCAAAAATATAGGGATGGACAAAGCATCCAAGGCAAATGCAAATTGATAGCCACAGACAGCATCAGTTTTGATCTTGGTATATGACAGATCAAATGCAGATTAAAAAGGACAAAACAAGACAGAAAAGGACTGATCTATGCTAAAGGCCAGAGTTCACAAGGAGCATTCAACAGTATGAATGTACATCAAATGACACAGCAGTGACCCATAGGGCAGGACCTGCAGGTGATGCGAGAAGAAATAGAAACATACTAATATTAGGTCATTTCACACACCACTCTCAGGCCAAGGACAGGGCAAGTGGACAAAAGGTAAATAAAGAAAAAAGACCTGCCCTGGCTGGGTGGCTTGATTGGTTGGAGCATTGTCCTGTATACCAGGGGGTTGTGGGGTCACTTCCTGGTCAGGGCATGTATTGAGGTACATATGAGAGGCAGCTTATGGGTGTTCCTCTCTCATATCAGTATTTCTCTCTTCTCTCTCTCTTTCTCTCTCTCTCTCTCTCTCTCTCTCTCTCTCTCTCTTTCCCTGGCCCCCTTC